CATTATATTAGGTATTTAGATTGGTAAAGAAAACACAAAACTGGTAATAATTCGTAAGCACAATGACAGGCCAAACAGTCCGTGTTTGAAACTGCCTATAAAAAAAATCCAGGCACTCCAGGCTGCCTCCATAGGCAGAGACCTCCTGTCTGCAGGGAGGGGAAGTTTAAAAAAAAAAAAAAAACAACCCAAAAGTACCACCAAAAAAATACAGCAAACCATTGGCTAAACAAATAAACAAACCAGACACAGTTTCGTTTATAGCATCAATTTCTCCCACTTACAAAAAGGGGAAGAACAGGACATACTTAGCAGATTAGCAGATATGCACGTGAAGACCTACATAACCACCCCTTCAGTACTCTGGTTAAATAAAAAACTGAAGTATTTCCAAATACATCATCCCGGACTGTATAAAGCTTTTGCACACCCTAAAGAGAAGCCGTCATTATTTCATAATACTCTCTCAAATTGCCAGGAGGTAAATGGTGCATATACAGAATCACAGGTTCCCGACACGACAATTTCTTCAGCACTGCAGTGGCTGTACCTTCATCAGTATAACGAAGTTTCAACTCTATCCATCCTTTACCACTGGTTTTCTGTCACCAACACTTCTCTAAAGAACCCCTTAATCTGAGACCAGCTGTGATGGACTTTGGCTCTAAACTGCATCAATATCCACTACAAATCTGTATACAAATGATAATTTGTTACTCAGGGATACTAAGCCTCAGCTTTTTTCCTGCAAGGAGAAAGTCCAATTTTATACATATGACTGATTTCCCATTATTTAATACTCAGGTTTCACTTTACATGCTTAAATGGACTGAATCTATAGAAGACATTGCTTTCAAACTCACAGAAGACATCCATTACTTTGACTAGGAAATGGTTTCCTTGTATCAGATGCAAACTGAAGCCAAAACATTCTCCACAGAAATATACAGGTCATTAAAAAAAAAAAAAAAAAAAAAAAAAAAAGAAATTATTTGGACATACTCAGGGCAAAACATTACGCCGCAGTCCTCTGGGGAACAAAAGAATAAAACAAACAGACTGGATTTCTGAAGGCATCATTTCTAAGGAACCTATCTGAATTTTAAGACAGAGCAACTCTACTTTTGGGAGACAAGCTCCCACCAACAGCTCAACGGAACTCAAAAAGACGACAACTGTGGGTTCAGACCAATTGTTCCCACTTAAAATGTATACAGACAAAAGAGAACCCACAGCTACCTGACCAGTAGCACGTGCTACTCATTCTTATACTCGTTCTCATGGCAGCCTTAGTTTCATTCAAGGGGCCGTTATTATTTCTAAGAACACATAAACAACAACCATGAAGTTGCCAGGTTCAAATCACTTATTTGCACAAGTGTAGATAGTTTACACTACACAGAACTAATAGGGATTGATCTATCCGCGTGCTGGGATCCCTCCAAGCTTGTCTGAAGGTACCAGCACTTCCTGCTTCAAAGCAAACCCACTGTATGACTGAGGGCTGGCAGGAAGCTACAGACTGTAGGAGAGGATGCACATTTCCTTTTGGAGATTGTAACTCTTTCCCATCTCATAAACCAATTTCTGCCCATCCCCACGCCTGCACGATTACAGCATTACATATTTGAAGTGCACACAGACTGAGCATTCTTGCACTATCTGATTTTTGAGGCTAGCCACCCGCTGTGCAACGATTCACTGAGGCTTGAAAACAACACAAACAATAATAATGAAAACCCAACACACTTGCCATTAACTTCATCTAGTTCCCACTTGTTACTGAACTACAGAGCAACTCAAAAATGAATGCACTCAGCAGCCCATTTTGCTATTGGCCCCTTCATGCATTTTGAGCAGAATTCCTACCAAGTCAAATGATAGTGAAACAAATCTCTATAGCCTGACCATAATGCTACACCTAGGATTAGCTTTACTAGTTGAGCAGTTTTATTATTCATTTAATTGGCTAAGTACACATTAGTGCTTCTAGGACCTGAGGGAAAACAGAGTAAACCACTTTTACTAAGGATGAAGAGTTAAATACTCGAAATTTTTGCATGCACTCTCAATACCCGGAACAGTCACAGCAGAACCCATTTCCACTTCTCTCACAATTTTTTTCCCCATAAAGGAAGCAGCTATAGATAGCTCCAAGTTTTAAACTACAGGGTAGTAGTAAATAAATGGAAAAAAATAAGGTGGTACTTCTAATGTATATAATATTTGCTCACAGGTGAATGAAGTATTTATTCAGCACTTTCTTTCCAGTGAAACACAAAAACTTCAAATCTGCTCAGTTATAAACAAGAACTTCTGGTCAGCCCTGAGGTGGTCAGACAGATGGATATGATGGTCTCTACAGGTCCCTCCCAACTGAACTACCTAAGCCTATCCCACGTGTTGGAAGAACACCTGTGATAGTATATATATATATATATATATATGTATGTATATATATGTATATGTATATATATATATATATATATATATGTAAAGGAAACTAGTGGAGAATGAACGCCTAACTCCAGGACAAACCCACAGAACGCTATGAGATATTTGCACTTATTTCTGCTGTTTGTGCTTTATGCTCAGCAAACAGAACTCAGATGACACACTGGTATCTTTGTTTTATTGCAGACAAAAAAAAGAGAAATGGAACTGGGAACAATTCAATGATGGGATTCAATTCAATTGATGCAATCAATTCACATAGCTGAGCATTTGTTAGCACTATGAAAAGGATTTTTGTTTGCTTTTTTTTTTTCTAAATTAGAGTAGAAAGCATCGAATATTTCTAAGTCTTAAATAAGGTGCTGTTGCAGCTATCTGGCTGTTAGAGAAACTCAGGTGAGACAGATTCTGCTCTACAGAACAGATGAAACGCATCATCTAATATCTTTCTCACCTAAATCCTGCTCAAAACTCGCATGCTTTGTCGTTTAAGGTCTTGGTGTGGCCTTCTTTCATTTACTGACTGCAGTAACCAGCAACCTCCAGTACCTACTTATAACAACTCCTTATAGCCCTAACAAGGCTTCAAATCCTTATGTGCTAAAAAACCCATGTACTACAAGTATTACCCTCCAAGGTTTCCTCATTTCTAATTATAATTTACAATTCAGTAAGACTCACACCGTTACAATTTAAGTCTTTGCACAAATATCAAAGACATTCTGTAATACACTTACAGATACAAACACAAAACAAAATGAGCTATCTTGCATACAGTTAATCCCAACATTTTCTAAACATTATCAAAATACAAATGAACACTTTTTGTCCTACTACCAAAAGGGCAAAGCCTCAAGCACTGAAAGCAAAACCAGTTAGCAGCACCAGCTAATGACGTTCCATAGGAAGACCCCCTCCCTGCCTGCAGAGGCCACATCCCTGCACATCTTGCCAGGGGACACTTAGCCTCTTTAATACCCCACAGAATGGCCAGGGTTGGAAGGGACCTCAAGGATCACGAAGCTCCAACCCCCCTGCGACATGCAGGGCCACCACCCTCCCCATTTAATGCCAGACCAGGCTGCCCAGGGCCTCATCCAACCTGGCCTTGAATACCTCCAGGGACGGGGCATCCACAGCCACTCTGGGCAGCCTGTTCCAGCACCTCACCACTCTCTCTGTCAAGAACTTCAATGTTCTGCACCCAGTGTTTCTCCTGCTGTTTCTCAAAATCACCTTCTTTAAACAGGGTTTAAACACTAATGATAAGATTCAGGAAAAGTTATTCTGTAATTATCCTTCTGCTGTACATTTTCCAGCACTGTTACAATAACATTCACATGCTAAACAAACCAGTGCACAAACAAAACAAATTCTGCATCCGTTTTCTTTTTTTTTTTAAATGGAAAACTAAACGCAGCATCCCAGCCGCCCTATGTGCCAGCCGCTTTCTAGTTCAAACCAGCAGCAGCTGAAGCCTTATCTCTTGAGACACAGCTATCTCCAGGCTGCCCCGCACTCCTACAGCTCTGACCCCATGACACAACTCCGGACCGGGGGCTGCAGCCTCGTCTGGCACCCAAGGAAGGGCACTTCACCTAAACACACGGGCTCGTGTCGGCTAAGAGCAGCACCGAGGCGGATTTTCTTCCACGCCCTGCTCCAGCAGCGCACACAGTAACGAAGTCTGCGCTTCGGAGATGCTCCAAAAACAAAACGCAGCGCCTTTAGCAAAGCCTTCAGAGGCATCACCCGTCGGGATTAGTACAGCAAAAATCCCCCCAGACGGCCCCGGCCAACTTTCAGCCACAACAACAGCACAGTCAATCCTTTAAGCCGCCCCCGGCCCCCCCCCCCCCGCCTCGCAGCTCGGCGGTCCCGACCCGTCGCCCCTCAGCACGGCGACGAGAGCGACGCGGGCCGCCCCGCCAGCACGGCGATCCCTCGGAAGGCCCGCGAGCCGTCAGACCGCCCGAAAGCCGTCCGGGGGTAAAAACGGAGAGGTGAAAAGAGCGCGACAGCGGGGCCGTGGGGCGGGGGAGGGCCTGAGCGGGGAGGCAGAAAAATAAAAAACGGTTACTCACAATCATCTAAGTCATCCTGCAAATCCACAAAATACAAAGGGATCCCTACGAACAAAAACAAAAGAGACACCGAGGGGTTGGTTCGGGGGGCGGCGGTGAGGACGGTCCGTGGCAGCGCTGCCCGGTGCCGCCCCCCGCCCGCGCCCACTTACCGGCCATCTTGGATCGGACATGGGCGAGGAGGAGGAGGAGGACGGGAGCACGCGGGGAGGAGCCGCCCGCACTTCCTGCCCTCAGTTCAGCCTCCAAACGCGACCGGTTTAACAGCCGGCCGCTCCCCGCCGACGGATCGCCCCTCGACGGCCGCCGTCCCTTCCTCTGAGGGAGGAAAGCTGCGGGCGGCGGCGGCCGCGCTGGGGGGTGTGGTCAGGTGACTCCGGCGGCCGCCCAAGATGGCGTCGGGTCCGCGGCGCCTGAGGAGAGAGACGCGTTGGTAGCGGGAGGCGGCGGCGGAGCTCCCGGTGCTCGGCTGTCCGCGTCCCTCGGGCCTCGCGCGTGCGGCGAGGAGGGCTATGAGCGTTCTGGGCCGCGTCTCTGGCGCTCGTTGAAGGTGCAGCCTGCCCGGCCATGGCTCTGAGGGAGCTGAAAGTTTGTCTGCTGGGGGTGAGTGCTCCGCGCGGGGCACGGCGGGCGAGCGGGAGAGAGGGAGGTGGCCGTGCACCCTGCGCCCTTCGCTGCGGAGATCGCCGGGCTTAGCCTTCCGGCGGCTCCGACAGCCGGGCCTGCCCTGCTTAGGGCTGGGCCGCGGCCCCGCCGAACTCGGGGCTGATCCCGGTCCCGACTGTCCGGCCCCGGCAGCGGAGGGCGGGGAGCCGTGCTGAGGGACGGGGCTCCTGACGGGACGATGCCGCTGCTGTGTTCCAGCGTTATCGCTTGAAAAGGAGCGGACGGGAGGCCCGGGCAGCCGGTGTACGCTTTCACGCTTCCCAAGCATGCTGCCTCGGGCTTGGAGGTCGCAAATATCTAAAATCAAACTTGGAAGAGAGGGAGGGAAGCAGAACTATATTTGTTTAACGGTATTTGGCTTCTGAAAGTGCATTAAGCACTAGCAATGGGGAAGGAGGAGACTTGGAGCAAAGTGACGTCGAAGTTTCAAAATCTCTGGAAGAAGCCAAGTGCTGCCGGGCTGCGGAGCTGCTGTGGGAAGCAGGGCAGTGCCCTGAGCCTTGGTCCTGTGCTGGGAGCATTGCAGGCAGTGCTCTCAGGACTCCCAGATGGCCTCTCTGCCCTTCAGAGAGAAAGCTGTATGTTTCTGTGCTCCGTGTGGTGTAAGACAACCTGGGGCGATGCAGAGTTCCTGTCTGCTCTGCGTTCCCCCTGTCCTGTGTTTCCTCATCTAAGAAGAGAAGCACCTAAGAAAGCTGATTCCCAAACTCTAAGAGCCAGGAGCTGCGTCTCCTTTTCTCTTTAAATATTTGCGTTGTTCTTGAGATTGCAAATATTATGAAGTCCAAAACCAAGGTCATACACCGTCACCGATAGGAGGGCAATTTAAGAACATGTATGAGTAGAACTTCATTTTCAGTGAAGTGTCTTTGTTTGTTTGTTTCCTTAATGCTTTGTTGATTCTGGACATGCAAAGCAAAATGCTTGTTGTTACCTGCCTGGATAAATGACTATTTGGGATGTCCAGCTGCTATTGGGAATGGTTTTGTGCATCATTTCACTCCTAGATATGCCTACTATTACTTTTTTTTTTTTTTTTTTTTTTAAACAATCAAGTTGGTGGTACAAACACAAACGTTACGTGAAATTTTTGTCATATTTTCTCTTCTTCCGTTTTCAACCCTGTAAAGTTGTATTTGAAACATGTCTCAGGTGTGCGTCATACAAGACATCTCGGGCCTTTCATTAAGCAGGGTGGGACGGCATTAGTCAGAAGTTGAAATGTGTGTGTCACATTTGTATAATTTCACATGCTTGATTGGTTTACAAAGGTGGAGTACTAAATTCAGTTTCTGTATATGCTGCTAAATGTGTTAGAAGGTCTTTCTGTGCTCTAATTCATACATGGTTTGTATACACCTGGGGTGAGGTTGAGTGACTGATAAATAAGGAATACAGATTTTTATACTCCTTGATAACAGTTTTATTTAGGAAGTTGTAACTTACAAGAAATGTTTCATTTTTCTAGTTAACAAAGAAAATAATACTTTCAATACTACAAAGAAGAGAAAATGAAATATTTGTGAACTTCTAACTTCACTGAGATTCTCTGCAGGAATGTGTTATTCCTACAAAATATTGTAAGATGGGAGGACAAAAAGAATTGTTTACAGCAAGTTTTATCTCTTTCATGTTTCTGTTCTTTTTTAGGACACTGGTGTGGGCAAATCAAGTATCGTGTGGAGATTTGTGGAAGATAGCTTTGATCCCAACATCAACCCAACAATAGGGTAAGAAACTAAATGAAATCTTCATTTGTAAGATCTGGGCCCACGTTGTGTTGCTAGTGTCAGCTAATAAAATCGTGTTAGGAGTATTTGTGTTTCTCAAATGCTATTCTTAAATTTCGAAGTCTGATTATAATGCAACTGTGACCTCCTTTTTTTGAATCAATTACAATATCAAGTCTCCAAGGCTTTTGCAGATATTAATATATTAAATCAGGTTATAGTTCTTCTCATTAATTCAGTCTGATGTTATACATTGATATGCTATACCTATTCTCTTAAGTAACAAGAAATTGCCAGTGCAGCTGCTAATGCAGCTAAGGATTTTTTTATAGGTAAGCCTCAGAGGAGCAATGATGCCTAGCTCAGATCTTCAAATAGATAAGACGGAGGACATCAGGAATTCCTGGTGTGGTTGAAAGTTTTTCTGATGATTTTTTGCCTTTTTTTTTTTAATTCTCAAAATATCTTATGAGCTGCTTTGCTCAGAAGCAATTCTTTACTTACAGGAGGACATGTCTTGATGCTGAGAAGTGTGGGGGGCATTGCATCTTCCTGTCTCAGGTGCCACACAGCCTCTACTACAGCTTTGATCAAAAAGATTCTGCTGATTAAATGTCAGCTACATCTCATCCTGTCCTTCTAAAGAATGTGGTTTCCTTGATCTTTCTCTTTTTTGCTCTCTTCCCTGCTGCTGTCCTCTTCCTGTTTTTTTCAGTATAAATACTGGTATCAAACTGCAAGATGTTCTATAGGAATTATGTTTTTATTTCAATTTTCCTGTTAACAAAGGTAGCCCTTAAGATAGATTGCTAGATTATTTTGTTATGCTTTCAAGGACTGAACGTTCTTGGCTCTCAGGCTAGCTACAAGAATGTTCTTTTTTTGGAAGACAGTGAAACTGCAGTGGGGATAGTAGCTGTAGTGCTGTTTGCTTAAGCCAAGGGCCAACCTGTTCTAAACGTTTAAGTTTAGTGTGTGCAGAAAGTTAAGACCTACTGCTCACAGTGACATAGCTGCAAGCAAAGCTTCTTGTTGAGACACTACTGAAAGATCAGTTTATTTTTTGTATTCTGTGAGGTTTTCTGAGAAATTGGGCACCTGATTTCATTCCAGATACTTTTAGAAACAAAAATAAAAACATTTTGTTATAGTTTAGTCTGCTAAATAGCTGACTAATATGGATGGTATCTACAGAGGCCTAAAGTGGTCAGTCATGCTCACACACACACATCCTGTTTGTTTGGATGCTGTGGTTTTTTCATTGTTCTTGATTTTTAATTTAAATAATAATAATAAATCTACTTAACTAGTAGGTGTTCAGGTGTGGTAACAGAATCTGCAAAGATGGGGAGTGCTTATTTATTTCTGTGGGATGCTCTGTTCTGTAGTGAGATGTGTGTGACCACACATTTAAGTTGCCTGAGTTAAACCTTGGAGTAACCTAGAGTGGATTTGCATTCTCCTCCATTTATCTCTCAAATTATTCTGAAAAAACAACTGTGCTGGTTTAGGCCCCAGGTATCTGCAAGACTGTGTAAAGCTGCAGAGCTAAGATCTGTGTGATCTGCAATGCTTTTGTTGTGACAACAGAACTCTTTGCATTCTGGAGAAAGCTTAGGAGAGTGTTTGACATTGGATCATTAGTTTTATTTTGTTTCTCCTGAAGAGAAGGCCTGGGAATACCTTGTGGTACTTTTGGAAAGTGCTCACCATTGTGGTGATGAGGATACTTTGCAGGATTTTGTTTCCTTTCATTGATTTAGTGACAGCTACAGGATTCCTGTGGTTTTCTGAAGTGACAGGCTGAAAATCTGCGTCTTTTGGTGATCTGGATAAATTAAATGGTCCAAGGACTTGGTGTTTTATACTCTGCAGTAGTAATACAACTGATCAAAGTTCCCATATGCCAGACGGTGTGAAGTTGGAAAAATGAATTATTGGATCTTTTGCTAGACCATGCTTTTATTTCCTAATTGAGACAAGGGGGTAGAAAGAATAAAGTGAGGACTAGAGAGGAGTTTTAGAGCATCTTGCAAAGCTAAAGGTGAGAACAAAGCAATATTTCCTCTGGGGTATTTGAGTGCATGAGATATGATCTTATGTTTCCTGTCCTAGTTCCACTCTTCTTAGAATATGAGCAATCATACTTCACCATGATTAATTCAAATTTGAGTGTGGGCAGCCTGTAGAAACCCTGTTAGAATTTTGGAACTTCTGTGTTGTCAGTGCTGGGGGCACTTCATGCTGCTGCTGCAGGATCTTGCATCGCACTCTGTATCCTTACATAGGCACTCTGAATGAGTGTAGTACAGGTGTTTGTGTAGTTATGGTGTTTGCTTGGAGAAGCAGCCAGGAAATCTGGAGGGATACTGCTGCTTTTCTTAGAATAACTCAAGGTTAACTCTAGTTTGGATGCTCCCAGAGCAGTTTGTCTTTGAGTTGCACTCTCCTGCTCATGCTTTCTCACTTGCTTCTGTTACACTTCTCAGAGAATTTCAGGTGGAGCTGAGCCTCTGTAGTCAGCTACCATTTGGGCATGTTGAATAGTGATGTGAAGTATGGCCATTCAATTCAAGTTGAACGCACTGGCATGGTTTGGTTTGTAGAACCAGAGAAGTTTTCAGTGAGAGTCTAATTCAGGAAGTGATGCTGAATTTCCAGCAATCTTAAAGAAACCAAAGTCTTTTGCACTTTACAGCAGATGTTCCTATCATTTTCTTTACTTTTACTCATTGCTAAAATAAATCTAGCTTATTCTACTTAAATAAATGGTAGTTACATCCTTTCTTGGTAGGGATGCTGCATTCATATATTTAGCTTCTTAAAATAACAATGAACTTTGGACAATGACATGCTCTTTGGCAAACTATCTGAGCTTAAGGAAATGGGAGAAGGTTACCTCTTAACAGAGGGAAGCATTGTGTAATTGCTCCCCTTTATTTTAAGCATGCATAATAATTTTGTCCTCCTGTAACAGTGAGACATGCTGGAAGATACCAATTCTATTCACTACAAAATTGTAATGGGCACTAAAGCTTCATGCCCTGGTAAAATGTAGGGCAAGAGAAACTGAAATTTGGAGTCTTAGATACTGACTTTTAATGTTGTCATGCTGAATGACTCTTGCTTTCTGCTTTGAATTTACGCAGTTTAATACAGTTTAAGAAGCTCTAGCAAAGGATGCCTCCAGGTTACTATCTACCATCCTGTCCAAAACTGTCAGTAGCACGTGTTTGGAAATCTGCAATATCTTGAATGATGAAAATTAAGCATATAAAAGCTGTTTAAGATCATAACATATGATCTCATATGCCTAAAGTAATCATGGCATCTAGAGATTGTTGGCTATTTGCATTCAGTGTGTTGTTTTTCTAATAAAAAATGGCTACAGGTTACAGACTTAGCAAAGAACTTTCTCTTTTAAAATATTAGATCTTAGAGTTTCCTCTATTGAGATATACACTGATTCACATTAAACAGATCAAGCAAAACACAGAAGCAGTTCAAAATGTTACTGTAGTACACTGGAAGCTGGGGGGCAGGGGCATTTGAAGAAGAGAATTTTCGTTTGTCTTCTAGATCTGCAAGAGCCTCTGCAGGCTGAGATATAATGACAGACAGGTTGTGGGAGCTGTACAGGTTGGAGACAGCGAGTGAGTTACTACTGATGTCTGTCCCCTTAACACCTACAAATGGCAATACGACTGTCCTGTGCTGTCCTCCCAAGTGTGGAATGATGAAGAATTCATTTGAATTTTAGTACCGAGATGTTAAAGAAAAAAAAAGCTGATGCCAAGGGTGAGGCTTTGATCTCTTACCCTCCAAAAGCATCCTGTACACGTTCAGATAATCCGTGGTAACAACTCCTCTTTTAAGAAAAGTGTTGTTGAGAAAGCTGACCTTTCTGCCTTTTTTTTTTGGTCATCATACATCCTTTATTTTTACCAAAAGGCTTACAGCCTGCATTCTTGTTTCTTCTGGTTTGTTAGTTGAATTTCGTCCTTTGAATAGGGCCTTTTGCCTCAGTTTCAATATTTATATATGAAAATTGTAATCAGTTGCATCTAGGGAGGAAAAGCAATTTAATTGAAATAGAAACCTGTTTAACAGTTCATGGCGGTCGTGTTCTAAGATGATGTTTTGGCGTATTTTCCAGAGCCTCATTTATGACCAAGACTGTACAGTATCAAAATGAGCTGCATAAATTCCTCATTTGGGATACAGCTGGACAGGAACGGGTAAGTAGCATCAGTATCTTTCATCCTGTCTGCATATCCCGTTCTGAGTTTGTGACGTTTTTCAACCCTACCCGAGCCCAAACCACAAAGCAGGGGAAAGAAATAATCTTGTAAAGGCTCGGTTATTTTCATGCAGTCATTTGACCTTCTGGAGTCCTGGTGAAACTGACTTGCTGGATTTTTAGTGTGGTAACACACTTGATGTCTAGAAAGTCACTCTAGTATATTTGTATTGCTTTCAGAACTCTGGATTCCAAATGACTACTGATTTCCTCCCAGCAGCATGATATAAAACCAACTTTCATCATCAGGGATGTGTTGTGTGTGTATGCATGTTATCAAAAATGTCCCAATCTTTCTATTTGCAGCAGTCAGTCAGCATCTACTGTTAATGGCATGCCTTATGTGAACACCAGAGCTCATTCAGAAATGGTAGTGTTTGAATGTGAGGCTTCTAAGCAATGAAATGAGACTTTTGAGAGAGTGGTACTCTTAAAAAAAAAAAAAAAAAAAAAAAAAAAAAAAAGTCTTACAAATGTGCCTGCAACAACTTGGCAGGAAGCATCCATTACGTATTAGCATTCCATCCTGTTTGGATTCAGCATGCTACAATCTGAGGAAGCTCTCTGTGCATGCCCAGTACGTTCTGTGTCTTTGTTTTTAGACCAAGTGACATCTCTTTAGTTTTCTTCTGTTCAAGTTGTGTGGTGTTACTGTTGTTGGTTTTGTTTGTTTTTTTGTTTTAATCCAAAAAGGAAGGATGACTTACCCTGGCTTCTGATCTGAGTTCTGTGGTATCTCTAAGGGCTATTCCATGCCACAGAGAAATTTCTGTGGGGCCCACATACTTACAAGGAAGCCAGTACTGTCACTGCCGGTCACAGCCGATCTTTATACATGCCTTGTGCTGAAACCTGCTGCGTGGTTTTCTTGCCATGCAGCACATCTGACAGTGCATCTTGGAAAGAATCCCATTTGTGGTGGTCTGGTACAGCAAGAACGTCCAAACCATTCAAGAATTGCAATCTCTAAATGATACTTATAAACACAATTCCTAATCCTGGCTTTTGGGGGAGTGCTTGCTATTTTCTACTTCTAAATCCCATTAGCAGACTAGATAGGGCAGCCCCTTGTTCTACATGGTTTCAGGGAGTGGCAAGCTAGCATTGCTGTGTGCTGGAGATGTGCACTCGTTCACTGGACCTACAGCTACATGCCTGTGCCGTTTTTGTTCTCTCATTTCTTCTGCCCTGAGTAAAGTTGGACGAAGGCTATTTAAAGGAGTTAGGATTCTTATGTTCGTGCCTAACTGTAGAAATTACATCTTAGTTCTGTCAAAATGCTAGTCAGTCAGGATGGCAAGCTGCAGTCTATGAAAAAACAGCAAAAGGAAAATGCAGTGTTCCTGTTAACATCTGTTTTGTTAATGTATTTTATCTGCTGACTGCTCTTAAGTGGAAAAATGTATCTAAGTGTTAGCAGGCAGGAAATGAGAGTTCTACAAAATCAGTGAGTGAGAGTTGGTTTGTTCCCAAGGTAAATAGTCAAATAATCAAAAAGCCAAGTTGCAACCAGTCCAAGTGGTGGTTTACCAAATATGTTTCCCTTTACATTTTAGTATTTGTGGAGGGGAGGGATTATGCCCCAATGTGAACTGAATGTCTGCCTGTGTTTTCCCATTATTAAATATTTTTCTATTCTGAACTTTGTGTTCAAAATATTGTTTTCAAAACAGAATTTGAGAGCCAAATGTAAATGGTCTGGAATTCTCCTTTATACCAAAACTTTCATGATTTATAATATTGCTCTCAGTTGAACTGTACTAAGCAAAAGGAAATTGATGTTTTATAAGAACCATAGGCCTTCATGAAAATCTGTGTTCTGTTCATGATTTTTTTCCCTGCTAACAAGATGCACAGAAGACCAGAGTTCATATGGTTACATCAGAACTGCACGTGTAGCTTATTCTGCTTCCATGAGAGCTCTGTTTCTTAGAGTAGTTGTCTGGTTCTTTTTTTAATGAGCAGAATATCACACTGGGTATTTAGGAAGTTGAGGAAAGATATTCAATCATGTACCCCCCTTTTCTGTGTTTTCTTGCTGTGATGGATTCAGAACATTATGTGAAGGTACAGACCTGGTTTATAGCCAGCAAATTCACAACCAGCTGAATATATCTTACGTAGATTTAATCTTGAATATTGCAATAACATTATTGTAAGCTTTTATTATCCAAAATGTTCCTTAAATGTCTGTTTGCAGTGGATCACACAGCTTTGTGTTTTTGCCATTTTTAGTTCTAAATATGCTTCAAGTTTCCGAGTTTTGAGGAAAAACCTGAGCAAAATCCCTGAAGCCTGAAGTTAAAAATGCTCTTTTCTTAATCTAGCATTTAATGAGTGGCACGACTTAACCACTTTTCAGCAAGGCTGGAGATAGCCTTGATCCTCTGAACAGCTCAGATCAGCAGATATCAGTACACTAGCTTTCTTGAATTACTTTTTCCAAAAGCACTGGCAAGAATAAAAAAGTTCAATTTTGATTTTGTTCCACTCAAAGTTGAGTGTATATCCTGTGGGTTTGTCTGTTTATAACTGGCCTACTAAAGGAGAGATTTTCGTTCAGTCAAAATCAAGTTGGGCTGCTTGCTTTTTATGGTAGGTGTGCTGCTGATCCCCAAGCTATTTATTGGTTGGCCTTCATATAATAGTGCTGTTATGGAAGCTTACATGTTCTGTTGTGCTGGTTCTCTGCAAAGAAAAGCTTTGTGCTAATGTTAAATTTTAAAATAATTTTCTCTCATTTTAATATTAAGAAGCAAATTCAGGAGATCAGTGAAAAATCAGATTCATAATATATTATTTTTTTTTCTAGTTTCGTGCTTTAGCCCCAATGTACTACAGAGGGTCAGCAGCTGCCATTATAGTTTATGACATCACGAAAGAGGTAAGAAATTCAATAAATTCAATTGTTTTTTTACTCAGCATTACCAATTCTTCTTTTCATGTTATGAAGCAGTTCTGGCTCCTAATTAATTCTGTTTTTTTCCTGCCACATCAGGAAACTTTCTCAACATTAAAGAACTGGGTTAAAGAGCTTCGACAACATGGACCTCCAAACATTGTTGTAGCTATTGCAGGAAATAAATGTGATCTTAACGACGTAAGGTAAATGATTGGTGACAGTTTGGAGCCTTCCTTTCAGAGACAAGCTAATAGTGCTAAAGGTGCTATTTTTAAGATTTCAAAGCTGGTAAAAGATTTAGAGCAATTTAAGCTTTTTTTTTTTTTTTTTTTTTTTTGCACTGCCATTTTAGTTTCACAAGGACTGAGCTATTCCCACTGCCAGAAATCTTGGTTAGTTTGCCTTTGTTTTTCTTGCCCACATCCTTCTCTTTGTTGGTGTGAGTACATGTGTGATTTAGCAGTAAATCAGGCTGTAAAATTGATCTACATTAAAACAAACCAATTTTAAAAAGGAAAACTTATCCATGTGTATTTATCTCACAACATGATAACTTGCTAGCATGGCAGAGGAGAGGCAGCAGGGTTACGAATGAGAAGTTTACAGGGAGACAGGATTACCTTTCTGGTGGCAGTGCCAAGTTACACGAGCTTAAAACTGCCTATGAAACTACAGTGTAATACAAGCTGTTTACCTCCTTCTATAAGAAGTACTCCTGTCAATCTGTAACACCTCATTTTGTTATGAGAAACGTCAAGCCTGTTGGAAAGCATTGTGTAGATTTTTCTGACTTGCTTGTTCAGGTGCCTTCCCTCACTGCTTAAGCATTAGGGTGGAATTGGCTGTGGTTGAATGGTTGCAGGGAGTGGGAAAAGTTTTTGAGAAACTTTATGAACAGCCGAACTTTCAAGCAGGCATGTATTAAAAACAAAAGAAGCCCTTTATTATTCATATCCTGGTTAAATAACCCAGAATTCAGAACGAAGGTGTGTGCAAGCTCCTTGTTTTTAGCTTTCATTGGAAAAGGTACTGCAGCTGCTGTCTCATGAGAGACAGATGGTTTTGTGTTTAAAGAACCACTGCAAAGTTGGTATAGTTTTACAAATTGTTCCTATATTTTAGTTACCTAGCATGCTGTAATAACCTGATAGAAATAGCATGTCCCCTGGAGTCAGTATGGAATAAGATTATTTATGTGTCAGTTGTAAGGCATGCAGTATGAAGTCTTGCACTTATTTCTTGGTCCTTAGGTGGAGCTGTAAATCATGTAAACATTGCAATTGAAGCTAATGAGTAAGAGTCCTTGTGATGAGTAAGATTCCTCTCCTTATGAGAGGCAATATCTGAGACACTGTCCTGAAGGCAGTGTTCTAGTGTCCTGATGTCCTAAGTCTCTTGTTACTGAAAATAGTTATGTGTTTTAGAAACATTATGTAAAGACATGGAGAGCATAATCTTCTCTTTATTTGCTGGGGTTTGGTTTGGGTTTTTTTTCTGTTGTTGAAGGAAATACTGCATTAGCAACCTGCCTGCTTGAGGGTGTAAAATACTTATTTTCACTTCTTGGCTCTGTGGTTTTGTGCACAGTCTCAGTAAGTTCCTGCTCCCAGCTATGTCTTCACTGCTTCATGTAAACTAAATGCTGTGCTAATGATCTGTGCAGCGCTGAGAGATGCCTGGTTTTCTAAGCAGCTGTAGGAAATCACTGGATTAGGGGAGCAAACATGAGGGTCTTTTCAGTGCGTCTAAAATTTGTATGTGTGGGGAAAAAATAAACTGCTCTCAGTGATTGATTGCAGACCTACGCTTAGAGTAGTCAAGAATGAAACTCCAGTGTCATGTCAGATGGCCTTGTTAGTTTGTGCTTTAGGGATGCTCCTGCCCCTAAACAAGGAGACAGCACAGTGAAAAATGGGTATCAATTTCAGGATGAGGGTGATGCAAAACAGGTAATACAAAATACTCATTAAACATGACACTTAAAAGCTTAATCAGTCTCTTAAAGTTCCGAATTAAGTATTTTTCTACATGCAGTTCTTTCTTTGCTTCTTTTCAGGGAAGTCATGGAAAAAGATGCTAAAGACTATGCAGATTCCATTCATGCAATATTTGTAGAGACAAGTGCGAAAAATGCAATAAACATTAATGAACTCTTTATAGAAATTAGTAAGTATTTAAACAGGTAATGTGTTCTTCTGCAAGCAGCTCAAGTAGAAATTTGATACTGTTTGTTTTTTGTGCTATTTAGGCAAGAGTTTCCTGATGTAAGTGTGACATCCAAATATGAATACTAACTGCAAAATGAGGTGCATATATTTTTCATGGTCTAATGGCTTCTGAAGGTTCCATCTAGGGACTTTACGTGTACTTTCATGCTGCTGGATAAATAGCAGTCAGTGTCATCTTACTGTGTCTGTAATTGAATGATGCAGTTAATACTTCCAAGGTTATGGAAGGGACAGTAAATGGTGTGGCGAATATCCAGACTTCATACAGCTCATGAAATGAATTGAATTCTCACTCTTGGTGCTTGTACTTAGTCCCAAGTAATGCATTTTCAAAAACATAAGAACTGAAAATAATAGATTACTGCCTAAGGAAGAGCACCTAGTGTGTGTATTTTCCAGCAGTATTTTTGTGATACCTCACTTTTCAATTAAATGGCAAATCTTTTCTGTCTCATTCATGGCAGAGGATGATGGCAAACACTTTTTTCCATGTATGAATGAAAAACAGTATTCCTAAGTGAATAAAGTATTATTTGTAGGATATGTTTCAGGCAGCAGCACCAGTATACAGATATCCTGTTTCTCAAATAAAAAGACATTTCTTGTTCTTGTAAGCAGTTCAGTATATTGAAGCTGATGTCAAAAGTATGTCCTGTATATAAGCTTTGTGGTTTACTGACTTTAATAGTTGTTCTCTAAACTAAAAATTTCTGTTGAGTAAGCTATGGAATAATTTCTTAAATCCCTCTCAAGAAGAATGCTCAACCAGGAATGGTCAGCTTCAAACGCTTACTGGGTGACTGAAGCAGCTATTCTTAGAAGCATTTTGGTGTTAAGCCTGATGCAGGTGGTCTGCTGGGGAAAGGCAGATCAAGAGCAGAGAGTTTCCAGAAGGTACTGCATCCTGCAGAGTATATTCTCTGGATGCTCCTATGCTTTAGGACTCTGAGACAAGGTTAGCCAGAAGCTTGAAGTTAGCTTATGCTGCTTCACTTTTATTTGTGGATCCATACTTCTAACACAGTACAGACTGTTAACTGCCATTCTTATGTTCTGCACTAATGACGTTTTGACCTGACATACACTGAATGAAAAGAGTAAGTTTCAAATATGTTTGCCATAAATGTCTTTTTCTGCCTCCTTGTAGGTCGTAGAATCCCATCAACTGACACCAACCCCCCATCTAGTGGTAAGGGCTTCAAACTTAGAAGACAGCCGTCGGTGACAAAGCGCAGCTGCTGTTGACTGGTCCATTTGAAAATCAGACTTGTTTATACAGTAGGTGGTCTTGGAAGTTAATAGTTCATGTTGGATTTATATTATCAGTCTTAGATCTCTATCTGCTGGTGTTCATACGCCCATGGTCCAGTAAAAATGGACCAGTTCATCTGACATCTGTATGCTCGCAGAAAAGACTGCCATGGTATGTCAGCCTGTTTACTTACAAAAAGTTGTAGTATCTCTTGCATTCAAAGGGAATCCATCATCACTTCTTTGGCCTTGCTTAAAAGGAAGCTGACTATGAATGGTTGAACTGAAATGTTTAGTAGTTTTGTAATTGAGATTGTGTTTTTGTAAAAAGGAAAACGAGCACTTTTGTGGGACTTGGGGGTGGGTGGAAGGAGTCTGGATTTTGAAGTTTAGTGAGATGTCGCTTCTTCTTTTCTTCAGTGAGCCTTATTTGAAATGTAAGTGTAGCTAATCCAAAGTACAGTGGGACAGTTGTGTTTGAGGTGGCTACAGAATAAGCAAATGAAGGCAGATAACAGTCAGATCAGTCCGTCCACTCCCCAGGACCCATTTGCACTTTTTATTTAAAGATAAGCAGCGGGGGTGGGGACGCATGCAACAGACCTTAAACCACGGACAATCTTTTTTTCTGTGCTGACTTAATCATTTTGAGGCAAACTGATATGCTCATAGGCATCTTCTTCTTGTTACAAGTTTTTGACGTAAAGCTGTTGGTCAAAGAAAGCCTAGGTGTAGTTCTGACTAAATGAAGTGATTGCTGACTAAAAGCAGATGCTGTAAACAGATGCTTCCAATAGTTCTGATAAGACTTAAAAGATCTGGGGGAAGCCTTTAACTGCTTAGCATGTGTAAAGTGTTCATATTATATTTATGAGACCAGTGTTTAAAATATTATAAATTATGTAAAAACTGTCTTTAAAAATTTGCAGTCTTATTTGCTCCTTCCATTCCACACCTACATGTGCACTCCTGGGGTTCTCCATCAGGTTTTTTTCTCCACCATCTTTTAGATATCCTTGCTGTAATTTCTTCCAGAGACGGGCTGAAATTAGTTCTCTTTAAATCACGTTTGAAAGGTCCAATAGAGGCTGCTGTTGGTGCAGTGTGAGGTCTGTCTGTTGAACAGGTTTTCATCTTGGTGCACCCAATCATTCTTGCTTTGGGCACAAAAGTGCAAATAAAAAGTAAAAAAAAACCTTAAGACACGTGGTGATGTAGATCATTACCTCTAAGTTCCTGGGCCTTTTTTTACCTGCTAGGGTTGGGGTTTTGTTTCTTTTATTGTTTTGGTGGGGCTCTTTTTCTTTCTCTCTCTCTTTTTTTTTTTTTCTTTCAAATTCAATGTTTAGCTTATTGTGTTGGTTTTAGTGTGCTTGCAATTAAACCATAGATTGACCATACCTTTTTGTGCTTTTTTAGTTTTATTTTTGCTTTTTTCTTTCCTACTGGCACTGTTGAGGTTCTTTAAAAAGACTCAAGTAATCAAGTACATGCTAATATGTTGTTAAGCTTTAGTGTGAAAATGAGGTTTGTTCTGTTTGCAGTCTGGCTTTCTATCATCTGAAGTATTTTCTCTGAAGGAAACACAGAAAAGCAGACTTCATACCTTTCTTGCAGTTCTGATCTTGAATTACTCCAGTTAGTGGAACCATGGGAAAGGCTGTTGTTTCAGATTGCCCAAATGTTGAAGTGAAACTGCTTTTAAAGACTGTGCCTATGTAAAATGACAGACTGTTGATGTAAGTTGGTTTGAGCCAAGGTAACTGTTTGTTGATCAGTTGGCTTTAGCTGCAAGCTGACGTGCAGTCCTCTGGATGAGACACACGTTCAGTGTCTCATTTTCGTTAGAGGAAAATGGTTTCTTCTGTATTAGTTTTAGGCCATCTGCTTCCATTTTGTACTAGGCTTGCTGAAATTAATTATATTTTGTCCCAACGTAACTTCTCTATTTGGGGGCAGATTAGCCTTTGAGTGTTTGAAATACTGATGATCAACCATTTCAGCTAACTTATTAATCATTTTGTGAAGGAGTTGTTGAAAAAGCGGAATAAAACTGAAGTCCTGAGGTTTGCCTTTCTCTTTAATGAATGGCACTCATCACAGAGACTGGATTTTAAAATGCTATAAAAGGGAAGTGATTGCTGCACAGAGTGTTTTGAAGGGGCAGACATCAGGTTTGTAAAAAGCTGATGAGCTGTGTGTCATAGTGTTGATCTGGAGCATTTTTTAACTGACAGAACATTACTATTTCTGCTTCTAAACAGTACCAACTCTCTGCTCAGAAAGAATAGATCTGTACAAAAACGTCATTTGATAAATAGTTTATTATTTAGTTTTGGAGCTATTTCAATGTGCTGCCTAAGTTTTGGAGAGGGGTCTTCATCGTTCCCCATGAATTCTCTGTCTCTTAAATGACCTGTGATGCTCTTGATCCGTGCTGAGTAGTTTTGTAGTGTATTTTATATGTGTTTAAAGCTGGCATGCTAAGTGCCTAGGTAGGTGAAATGTGGAAGCCTGTGCTTAACAAAACACAGAGGCATTTAGTAGCCAAACTACTGAAACTTGTAATAGGTGCTTTAACAAGTTCTAGGAGAATTCTGACAACTTTTGCTGTTGACAGGGAGGTAAAGACTTTTTATATTGTTAGATACATGTTGAAGCAAAACAAATCATTGCACTTTAAATCCCTCCTGACTTCAATGAGACCTTTTCTGGAAGTGCCACAGTATCAGGCAGATAACAGCTTAGAAGGGGTGCTCAGCTTAAACTCATTTTTAATATGTTGGTGTATGTAATACAATCTAATGTTACCAGCCTGCTCAAGAAAAAAAAATAAATCTATGTGCTTGGGAAGAGAGTAAGTATCAGGCATAGACAACATGAGTTCACAAAGGGAAAGCCTTGCCTCGGTGCTTTGATCTCCTTCAGTGGCAGACCACTTGCTTGGTCTGTGAGGGAAAGGCAGTAGATGTCCTTCTGGATCACAATAAGACCTTTGATGCTTTTCCTCACATCATCCTTATGGACAAACTGTCCAACTGAGTTGATAAACTGGCTTGATGGTAGAACTGAAAGGTCTGTAGATGGAGCTACGTCTGGTCGGTGGCCAGTCTTTAGCACTTCCCAGTGTTCACTTCTAGAGCCAGCTCTGCTCAACCATTTAATCAACAACCTGGGTGCAGGAGTGGAATGCAATCTCAGCACATTTGCTGACGACAATAAACTGGGAGGTGCTCATGCCTGGAGGACAGGAGACCTTGCAGAGAGATTAGATAGATTGGAGCATTGGGTGGTTGGCAGTGGCATGAATTTCAGCAACAGTAGAATGCTGGGTGTTGCACTTGGGGCAGAGCAGTGCCATATGCAGGTACAGGCTGAGAGACAAGAAGCTGGAAAGAGCAGCAGAAAGGGACCTGGGAGTGCTGGTGACAGCAGGCTTACACTGAGCCAGCAGTGTGTCCTGGCAGCCAAGAGAGCAAACTGTGTTATGGAGTGCACACAGCATAGCTGGCTGGTCAAGAGGTGCATCTCCTGCCATATTTAGAGCTGGTGTAGCCTCACCTTGGATATTGTGTGCAGCTCTGGGCTCTGCAAGTTCTTACCCATACATCAAAATTGGCTCAGGAATCCTTTACTGGCATTGGAGAACTACAGACAAGACTGAGAGGGGATCTTACCAACCCTTGTAAATATCTTCAGGGCAGATGAAGTGGCTCTTTTCAGTGGAGCCCAGCGACAGGACGTGGGGCAGTGGGCAAAATGGGGACACAGGAAGTTCCATATGGAATTGAGAAAATATTTGTTTAATTTGAGGGTGAGGGAACACTGGAACAGCTGCCCAGAGAGTCTCCTCTGGAGATATTCAAAACCTGCCTGAATGTTTTTCTGTGCTTTAAATCTTGGTTAGCCCTGAAGTGGTTAGGCAGTTCAACTCAGTGATTTTCATAGGTCTTTTCCTGAACTATTCTATGTTCACATCACATCTCTGTTAGTAGATCACATCCCTGCTAATGTTAGGCAAAATAAGAATCTGTTGTCAATCACTAATCTAATATTTCTTAGCAGTGTTTTAGAACAGAAGAACATCAGCTGACCTTTTTAGAGTTCTATGACTCCAGCACGACGAAAGAAAGAAGCTTCAAACTATATCTTTGTTTCTTATGCAAGTGTTCAAGTGCCAAAACACATTTCTCTGTAACTGTTAGGCCTTCTGACGTCAACACTTATTTTTAAAAAATCCCTTTTGATCTTCTGGTAGTCTTGAAAATTTGCATGCGAACTCTTTTTTATCAGTTAGGATCAAAAATGTTTGACCTGCCAAAATCGAATAAGTGTTACCAGACTGTCCATGAAGTGTCACTGATCGTTAGGTTTTTTGAGGGACGTGAGACTATCCTGAGCATATTGATGGGCTTCGTCTCTGACATGTTCAAGTCATCCTTTCCTTCTTTCCTTCTCCTCACAGTTTTCCCCTCAATTTTTAGGTGTACATGCTGTAAGCAGCTATTTCAAAATCCTTACAGGAGTTTTAGTAGCTCAGAGTTATTTGATGCCTCCTATTTTGCATGGAAAATCAAGGCACTAAGATGAGTTTGGCCCCCTAAAAATTGGTACAGCATTTACTGAAACTGTCCTTGTTCTAAAACAGAAATTTCCTAGAAGAAATGGTTCTGCTCTTCCCTTTGCATCATCCTGCAAGTTAGGAGCTTTAAGTTTTTGCTGAAACACTAACTGCTTTATTCAAGAAAATTGGGTTTTTCTTTCATTCCTGTCAATGTTTTTAAACACAAGTTACTGAACAAACCAACTGCTATTCCTGTTCTAATGCTGAAGGATACAGACAAGCTTTTGTGCTGTTCTTTTCATTTGTATGGACAGAAGACACCATCCAGTTGTTGCACTTTGGTTTGAGATGCAGCAAACCTTTGATAAATTCACTGCTGCTTTCTTGCTTCATTTTGTCACAGTGTGAATTTCCTGTTATTAAATCCATTATGTTTTCTTGACTATTTATTCTTTGTGTCCTTCTGGGATTTAGCCAAGAAAAGTTGACAAGTGTCTTTTTCTCCTCAAGAGTTCAAGAAATATCTGTCATAGCAGCAAATATTTGTGAACAAAATGGTCATCTTTAGAGCAGCTTTATGAAATCGTCGAGAAATCATAGCAGCTGAGACATGTAGCACTGCTTCACTATACTAGATGAGAGGGCAAGAAGCACTTTCGTCTAGAGGAAGTAAATTATTGTAAAGCCTAACAGCATCATGTGAAGTATAGAAACGATTAACTTCTTTTGTACTTGGTATTTCTGAATATAGTGCATCCAGCATTGAAATTGTGGCACAGTGAATTGACATAAGACTCAGAAATGGAGGATATTTAGCTGTAAGACACTTAAGACTTCTTGGCAATCTTCCCCTTTGCACCCTCTCATCCCCCAGTATGATGAAGAAAAAAGGGAATCATTCTGGAAGTGTCTAAACAAAAACTTTACATTTGCATTTGTGTATTTGGGGCACAAGGATCACCTGATGTGCATTTAGCTCTTGCGGTGTAATAAATGCATGCCTGTAAAATTAAGCGTGAAGGTTAACTTGGAATCAGCAGTTGTTATCCCTCTTAAGAACCATCTGCCTTTTCCTTATGGTATTGAGTTAACCTGGTAAAAAGATGGAAGGATCTGTGCCTTCTTATTGTGGTGTCTCTTACTGCAACAAACTAAAGCCGCTCAAAGTTACAGAGCATCTGCAGCACTGTAAACTGCACAAATTTACTACCATTGCTTCACTGCATGAAACGTAGTCAGATCACGAGTGATGAAATCGTACAGTGATGAGTTCCCAAGCTAATGAATGTTCTGAGACTTTTCTAGTCTTCTCTTGGGCTGGTCCCGAGGGCGTGTACAGGTTTGTCTGTATTGTTGGTTTGTAGATGCTAATGAGGAAAACCAGACTTTAGTTTTCTCCTTTTAGTTTGTATTGTTATACTGCCATGTAGTGCGTAGAATGAAGATTAAGAAATGTTGGTTTGGCATAATGTAAACGGCATTTTCAGCTTACGCGTTCATAATAAACTTTTATAGTGTAATAACATGCTAAATCACTACCAGTCCAATGTATTGTGCAAAAAAGGTGTAAACATTTTATTAATAAAAAGCCCTGTTTATAAATGTGCTGGCCTTGTTTGAGTGGTTCCAGAATTCTCAGTGTTGTCAGAAATAGTCTCTGTAGTAATAGAATTGTAGAAGAGGAATGTTAAGCAATACCACTGCAAAGTGAATGTAAGTAGTAGTTCAAATAGCTGTTTTCCAAAAGCTATCACTAGTGATCATTCAGAAACTGAAGCTTTTCCATGGTTTATGTATACACAGACAAAAGACAAGCTTGCACAAAAAGGGATGGAGAAAAAATGGCAGAGAGAATGCAGCTTTTGTCTCATGCTTCCTTTCTTTGCAGCGTGATGTCTGAGGAACTGCAGGCCACACACAGCCTTGTCAGCTTGTGCAAGGCCTGACACATTCTAATGGGATCAAGTTATTTAATACATTGCCTTCAGCTTAGACTGCATCAGAAGTTGAATTCTTGACTGCTTAGGCCAGGTTCCTGTCAATCAGAAATGTCAAGTGCTTTTAATATCTGCACAGTGTTCTGGGGGGCTGTCATGCTGGAAGGGGTTCCGTTCTGATTTGCTGGTACAGCTAGCTGGTTGCTTGCTTCCTTTATTCTTTGTGGTTCCTTTGAACTGCTTTGGTTATGTACAGCTCAAAAATATAAACTTGGCTAGAGTTATCTCCCTTGTCTTGTGCAACGACTAAAAGACATAGTTTTATTGTTTCAGCATGATGCAATTGAACATAGTAACAGCAGCCTTCAAAAGCGTGACCCCAAAAGATCCTGTTCCTAATACTGCTCCTTCACTGAACCTTCACCTGAAATTCCTGTATCCTGGTTTTCGTGTAATGTGGATAGTGACTGCCATAGATTTTAAAGTAAAAGAAAAGCATTCTTTAAAACTGCTACAGTCCAAAGCTTCCTTAATGCCCTTCAGAGTTTCCCAGTGCTGTTTGTCCCGATTTGCTCCTTCTGTTAATCAGAAATGCACGTTGGCAACGTGTGCCTTCCAGCCTCGTAGTGGCTGGACTGTTAATGAGACGAAGGTTGTTTTGTTAACTGATGAAGGTGGGGCATTGCAGGTGGTTTTGTGATGCATATCCATTTCAGTTACTCTGATCTGAACAATACTGACTGTGTGCACATTTACATGCAACCAAAAAACTACTTTCATTGGACTTGGTAAGTTGTTAACTTTGCATAAAAAAACTGCTGAGTTCTATGTATGTTTCAGCATGAATGAAAACAGGAGAATCCTTGCTATCCAAGCAGGTAAGTTCAGAGCTGTGCTCAGTGCAATCTGCCTTTGTAAGGTGATCCAGCCTTGCACATCCTTTATCATCCAGCACTTAAGGCTGTACTTTATACTGTCAGAAAAAGCAGAACGTGGCAGGGTGCAGGCAGCAATGCTGAGCTGTTGTTTACTTTGGGGAATTTTATTATGTATGACTGTACGTTGTATAAGGTTTCCTCTGTCTTATTCCTCATTATGTTCCAATTAACTTGTAGATATATATATATAAAGCTTATCTTTTTCTACCAATTACTTGGAATGTTTATGGACAGCTATGTTTTATAGCTCAGTGAGGGAATCTGTTTATAAAAATAAAACAATCTAAAAGATTGTATGGGAGAAGATAATGTTTTCAGAGTATCAGCCAAGAAAAAGCTCTACTCCAAAGTGTGTGTGAACCGAATTACTTCTTGAGATCTAATAAAATGTTATGACATAAGCTGTAGTTTATAGCATAAAGTAGACCCCTCAAAATAGCAAAATTAATAAGGACATCCTAGGCTCCAAATCTAATTAAGTAGAATTGCACAGATGTAGAAAGAAAAAAAAAAGCAACCAAAAACAACAAGAAAGAAAAGCCAACTTGCATTTATGACGTTGTGGCCACCTTTTCTCCAACACAGAGAAGGAAGTTAAGGAAGAACAGCAGTACGTGTATTTCAGCTTTTTGCTACCTGCGGCTGAAACTTCGAACGACTCCTCCTGATGTATTCATTGGCTAGAAAGTGATACCAAGTTTCATTTGTATCATGTGAAATGAAGTTATACAAAATACATATAGGAGTTATATTGTTTTGGTGTGGAATGAAAGTAGTTGCAACAACTGCGAAGGACAAAACACGTTTGTAGATCACACTGGATGAAAAATACAGGTTTTCATGGACAAGAGCAGCTGAAGTGTTGATGTGGTATAAATACTGCAGACATACTGTGCAGACTTCCTTACAGCGTTGAATGTCATCGTCCCATTTAGTGGTGTTAATTTTAACATGTCCATCAGTCATTTGCCACTGTTTGCATTGCCAGCAGTGCCAACAGCCCTTTTCTTCCAGATCTTTTTACTCATTTTGTCTTTTTTTGGCAAACCAGCCGCTGTTAGAACTTGCTCTAACATAACTGAGTGGTGTAATAGTTGGTATTCCTCGGAACACTTATATCTGGATAGGATTGCTTTTAGTCCCTGCAAATGTGGTATCATCCCCTCCGCAGTCCCACGTATCCCAAGTGCAGCAGCCTAATAAACACTTTTTGTGTGTATATAAGCTATTTTTAACTCGTCTCTGAGCGATCAGGTTTTAGGACCTTAAAGCCTTGGTCTCCACGAGCTCTGCTCCATCAGCACACCCCGCTCCATCTGTTGTGTTACAGAAACAGTTTATGGATTCTTACGAACTGTAGGAATGTTTAAGAGCAGTGGGTATGATGAACCCAAACGCTGCTGTGCTGCCCTGGCCTAAGGCCACCAATAAAGCAGCATTTCATCTTAAACCAACCTGTAAATTTAAGTCATTTTATAGCGAGTTTAAAAAAAAAAACACCTGCTGTTTTCTAGCGTTTACTGTTGGAGAGCCTCAAAACCACTACTGACTTTTAAGCATGCTTTTATTGATGACCAAGTTAGCGTTTCCCAGCGCTTGATGACAGTCCCGGCTCGCAGTAGCGTTTCCCCGGTCCCGTAACGCCCCGGCCCTGCGCTCGTGCCCTCGCTGCCTTCAGATCTCACTGCGTGCAGAGCCGCTCCCTGGCGCTGCTCGCCCCGTCGTTGTTCCTTTCCCTCATCGCGGAGGAGCTCCCGGAGCAGCTGAGTCACGGGCGGCCCCGCAGCGCAGCTCCGGGCACCGCCACGCCCGGGGCTCCGAACGGCGCACGCTGCGCGTACGGAACTGAGGGCTCAACCAGCCGGCCGGTAACCCGCACCGCCCGGAAACGAGCGTTTTCGGTGATAAAGAACTTTGCAGGCTATCTCTCGCTCTCTCGCCCTCGCCCCGTTCGGGCACGCCGAGCTCCCCAGCCCGGCTCCCCGCCGCCCTCTGCCCGCCCCGGCGGGATCCGCCCCCGTCCCCGCGGCGGTGCACGCGCCATCCGCAGCCCGCCCCGCGCCGCTCCGCGCTGCGCCATCCCCGCCCCGCGCCGCCCCTCCGCTCCGCGTCCCTTCCACGGCGCCGCCCGCCGTCCTCCGCCCGGCCTCGCTCCGCTCCGCCGCCCGCAGCGCCGCTCCGTTCGCCGCCTCAGGGCCGCTCGGTGGGGGGTGAAGCGCAGCGCCCAGGCGCACCGCCCCGCCCGCCCTCCTTTCCTCCCTCCCCTCTTCCTTCCTTCCCCTCCCTCCCTCCCCGGCCCTTCCTCTCTCCGCCTGGTGCCGCCACCGCCGAGGAGGAGGAAGAGGAACATGGCGAAAGCGGAGCAGGTCCTCAGCCTCGAACCGCAGCACGAGCTCAAATTCAAAGGTACGCGGCCGCCGCCCTCCACCGCCGCCCCGCTCCGGCCCCGCGGATCCGGCGCTCGCGGGCCCCGCTCCGGCGGCAGCCATTTTCCGTTGGCCGGGGCCGGGCGCCGCCGCGAAAATGTCCTTCAGCGCCGCGGCCTCCCCGCATCCCCGGGCGGGGCCGGCGGAGAGGCGGCTCCCGGCGCGCGGCCCCGCGGGCTCCTCGCCGCCCCGGGCCTCTGCCCCCGCCGCCCGCACCCACCCCGTGCCGCGGGCTGCACCGCGGGGCCGAGGGCGCCCCGAGGGAAAAGTGCGCGGAAGGAGGGGGGGGGGCGGTCGGCCGCGGGGCCCGGTTCCCGGCGGCGCGGCCCCGCTCTTCCCCCGGGCCGACCTTCCCCGTAGGGCGTGGGCTGCTGCGGCCGCCCGGGCGGGCCCGAAGAAACAAGACGGAGGGGGGGAGAAGGGAACCGCAGGCGTCGGGAGGGGCCTCGGCCTCCGCGGAGGTGGGGTGGAAGGAGAAGGTTTTCCAGCTGACGTAGCGCGGGGCCGCTGCCCGCTGAGATCCGGCCCCGAGGCGCTGCGGGACGCGGGAGCTGTCGGGGAGCGCGTGGTTGTGGCGTCTCCGTGCGGGGAAACCCGCGGGCTCGGCGGCGATCCCGGCTGCATTCTTTGTGGTGAGCGCCGTAATAACGCTGCGAGCCTCTGAGGTGCGTTCTCTGTGAGCGGTCTGCCCGCGCAGAACTCCGTTTTTTTGTAAAATAAAGATTTCGGATGGATTTGAGTTACTGCTGGCCTCGAAATGCCAGGGTTGTAACCTGGCAGATAGTGCTGCTGTAACACAACGCTCAGGGATTACCAGTAAGCATTCGGCAAGTTTATTTATGCTCCCGGAGTCAGAGGTACTTACTCACAGCTTTGTATGGTACCTGGCCAATAGCCTTTATTTAAAAATAGTGATTTATTTGCTGGCGCCTGGTTAAAGTACTCGTTATCTAAAAGGCTTTCGTGTAATTCTTTACGCTTAGGGGATGTCTCTACCCGGTTTTAGCAATAAATACATCAGGACTAACAGTGCAGAGTGGGCTCATCAAAAAAGCCTGGTAATAAATGCTGGCTGGAATGAATATGTCCTTGTGGTAAGCCAAAGTGTTTGCATGTTGTTATGGCAGCAGAATCAAACGTGCTTAAGAAGTAAACTGTTGTTCCAGTATTGTTTATGTTAAGGGCTGATTTTTGTCTTGTTCTGGGTACAAGTAACCTTACTTCCAACCAGAAGGCAGATCCAAACAGGTGGGCAAAACATGGGCCCTGAGTTGGTGCTGATCAGCAGTGAGATTGCAATTGTGGTTCAGGGCTTTGCTTTCAGCACAGCAGGTACAGAACCAGGCTAGCTGCTGCTTGTTGGGGCAGTGCTGCTGGGTCAGCCTGCATGGCCTCTGCTGTCGGGAGCCACTGATGTTAAATCCACCAACCACAGAGGTTTTCTGTGCCCAGTCTTCAGCCAGCAACATATATTCCTTGTAATGTAAAGCACAGCTTGACTAGCTGCAAGTAGCAAATGGCTTAATTTTAATGTGTGCTTAAATATTAATGTTCAGACAGGCTTAATGCTGCAGATAGCCTTCATCTGCCTTGCCCATAAATTCTGCCCTACGGTCCTTCCTGACAGGAGTGCTGACCGCTGTCCTTCATTCAGGAAGGACCCATTTGAAGCTTTCACCGAGCAACTTCTGCCCTGAGAAATCCCTATCCTGCAGTTTGTGATGGCACATTGCCTGGCAGTGTAGCAGCTGTGATTTTCTCACCTTTGCAAATAGTGGCATTTATTTGCAGAGCATCGCTCTGCACAGAGCGAGTCGATGCACACTGACAGGTGTCGGCGGTGCTGCTGTGCATGGAAAACTCAGGGCAGCAGTGCTGCTATGGTGAGACCATGGGCCGGGTTCCACAGCACCAGGAGTGGGGAAGGGCCTTGGTCAGAATGCAGAGGGTCGGAAGAAGCAGACTGTTAGCAGCTCTGTTGTTGTTACAGTATGATTCTTAAATATGAGATCAAGAGGAAGGTGTGACATTGACAGTAGATGCAGGAATAAGATCCCAAAGCGAGGGTTTATTCTATAATGTGTCCCAATACAGGACTGCAGCAGTCTCTGTCAGTCAGCGCTTGCAATTAAAAAAGGATTTGAAGGTGTTTTTTAAGAATCTTCTGTACCCCTTCATTTGCAGCAATTCTTCTAAGTGTGTTTGGAGCTCTCTTTCAAAATGCTGCCTTTGTGTCTTTTTGCAGAAATACCAAAGAAGACATTGGTGCCAGAACATTTTTTTCATAACATGTGAACATGAACAGGGGTTGTCTTTCCTCCCCACCTCCGCCTCCTCCGCCATAACACGTGTGCTCCAAAATAGCACGGCCGTGTGCTGAAGCACAGTGACAGGCTGCAGGATGTGCCCCTCCTGGCCGCAGGTCTCTGCTGTCGCTGTGCTCTGTGATGCTGGTAGCGCTGACTTGCTCTGGTTGGTCAGCAGAGTCCTGCAGCCTGGGTGAGAAAGCGCTGAACCACAGAGCTATTGTTTGGGCTTTATTGGTAATGAGCGATGAAAAAGGCTGTATTTGTTCCGAGTTTGCATGTATGTTTCCATTTTTGTTAATCTAGGACTAAAGAGCATCCAACAACCTGCCAAGGATTGTAAGTTAGATTGCAGTAGTCAGGGGCTTGGCCGAAGGAGGCACTGGCTGCAAGCTCAGCTAGGGATGTGCAGCTCTGGTGCCTTCTGTGAAGCACATTTAGATAAAATTGCTCCTTCCAGTGCCATGCTGGAAGGGTGCAGCTGTAGGATGCCGCCTTGTTCCTGGTGGAGCACATCCATCCTTCCAGTAGCATGGGCCCACCTGGAATAGATTTAATTCCAGCAAGTAAAATACTGTTAGATTGTAAATCCTTTTAGAACTTGTCTGGATCTTTAGCTGCTTGAATGCTGCATCCTTTGCAGCGCAGTGCCGTGATGGAGGCTGGCAAAATGCTGTCACACCTGAGGTGCTGCTGGCGGAGGTTGCTCCCTGCACACAGGGCTTTGCTCCAGGTGAGCTGGGACTAATGACTCAGCACTCGCTGTTGCAGTGCTCCCCAAGTGGCAAGCAGCAGTACTGCCCAGCGCAGGATTCGTTCCTCCCTCGCTAGCATAAATTGCTTCCTCTTGGAAATGCTGCTTCCTGTTTCCAGTGTGTGATTTTTCCACCTGCATGCATGCGATACGCCCCTGTGCGGAAAAGGGCACAACAATAGAGCGGGACGGGCAGTGCTCCCCATGCAGCGCTGGCTGCAGGCCTGCAGTGCTGCTTCCCCAGCAGGGAGGGCTGTGCTGGGCCCTGGGGCCTTCCTGGAGTGCTGGTTGCAGCCTGGGGCAGCCTGCATGGCATGGAGCTCCTTCTTGTGCATCTGAAAGCTGTCGCCAGGTCTGTGCATGGCAGTGCAGGTGTGCAGACCTCCTGTCAGGCAGATCATAGAATCAAATCATAGAATGGCCTAGATTGAGAAGGATCATCTAGTTTCAACCCCTGGCTATGTGCAGGGTCACCAACCACCAGACCAGGCTGCCCAGAGCCACATCCAGCCTGGCTTTGAATGCTGGTACCGAGCTGAGGCTGCTCATCCCAGCAGTGCTTGGGGTGTGGTTGGCCTGGTGTGAAGGTGCTGTCAGCAGTCTCAGAAGAGAGGCTCAGCACTTCATAGGCGCTGCAGTCGAACTGTGCAGCTCCTCTGCTGTCCTGCTGCGGCCTGTGTGAGTGGGGATCTGACTCTGTTCTCATCCTGGGTTGGATAAATGGGGATTTCTCATCGTTGCCACTGGAACAGGCTCTGTTTAAGGATGTGAAATACTGACAGTGTTGTGAGAAGTTGCCTCTTTAGTGTAATTAATATGCATCTTTTAAGCTGAGAATTTATGCAGTGTTTCCTTTTAACTGTTAGAGCCCTTCTGGTGTTTGCAGCGTAATGGCAGTCGGTGCTTGGGTTTCCTTGCTCTTCAAGGCTGTGCAATGGCTGTCTGCTCTTCTGCTGGAAAACCTGCTGCCCTCTCCTCTGCCTGGTTCCTAATAAAGTCAGTGTTAGATCAAATAGGAGTAAACCCTCACATCCTTCTGCATATTTGAATGTAACCAAGTTTTACACTTAAAAAGAGAACACAGTATTTCAGTAACAGTCTTCATAAATCTGTGTGAATCTCTATTTCATTACTCATTTTCTGGTGATGTTTAAATATTTGCAGTTCATGTTATGCTAGCTATTACTGCAACTTTGGCAAAATTAATAGCTTATTCTAACTATTAAGCATTCATTATAGTTGGACAGGCTTGCATCTCACTGTATTATTCTAATTTCACATGTATTAATTTTATAATTACTTCATCACTTTCCATAGGCTTTTCACTGTAAAAGAGCAGTGCTTAGAGGAAAAGAGCTGAGGATAAAGGCAAGAAGGGGGCGCATGGTGCCAGTCTCATGGTGCATCTCGTTTCTGGAAAGGTGAAGTAAGCTGGAGACAGTGCTTCTTTGTGCTTCCTTAGCTGGCTGGTGCCCTGTGTGTGGATGCAGGACACTGTCTGCTCCACAGGGGCAGGGTGAGGAGCTGCACAAGAGAGGGCTAGCAAAATTTTGAACCTTAAAATAGGATGTGCCTTCGGTTAGAGACCCAACTAATGATTACCTGAGATGTGTGGAGCAGATGAAGTTTAGCCACGTTTTCCATTAAATTTAATTAATGTATTTAGATCTCCGAAGACTGCTTTCATTTCTCACTGTCAACTTGAAGGTTTCAGCTCGTGTGTCTATGGGTTGAGGTCTCCTGAATTGTTTTGTGCTACGCTGATTCTAAGAACCGCAGGTGAAGTAATGAACAGCAATGGGAGCAAAATATTTCTAGGAAGATCCTTTTGTGGTGATAGAGGCAGCTTGAACAATTTTCATTTGGAGTATACTTCTCCCAGGTTGGTGGAGTTTTGCATTTTTAATGTGATCAGCTCTT